GTTTTTTTTTTTTTTTTTTTTTTTTTTTGAAAAATAATGTAAATGGTTTGTTTTTCTGTCTTTTTTTGCTCGAGTAATGAGAGGACATGGTCATATGGGCCATGATATGACCCTACGGCCCTGCGGGGATGGGTGTATATTGGGGTGGGTGGCGGCAGCGCCGCGGCCCGCAGGTCCTTAAGGGCCGCAACGGGTGCGAAAGCGGGAGGAAGTACTTTGTACTAACTTACGAAGTTTGTAGTGTTCCGTTTTTTTTTTTGTTTTTGCGGTCAAAAATGTAAATGGTTTTTTTTATTTTTTTTCTATTTTTTTTTTCTTTTTTCAACTAATGACTAGACATGCTCGTATTGTCGTATGGCCGTACGGCCCCACGGGGATGGGTTGGTGAATGGGGGCAGGGGTGGTGTATGGGTGGTGTAACACTGTAACCAGGGGTCAACGGCTCGGTTTTGTATGGGTTGTGCTTCATCATCGATTCATTTATTCGAAGCCAATGCTGTCTATCGTGACGCAAGTGCGCTTCGCGACTCTTTGTTGTCACACGCTGCGGTTGTGACATCATAACGCGGAACACTGGCAAGGAGCAGGTGGCCCCCGACCAGGCCGCGACAACAAGTGAGAGTGGTACAAGAAAGGGACACAACTCGAAGACTTTCGACTCGCCATTCAAGATTGATGCTGGTGTGGATGCCAAACGCGATGACCCTCTGTGACATTTTGTTGCACGTGGCCGATACTTGTACCCCGAGACGGCGGTGGGGAGGAAGAGTGGTCGACGATGTGTCTGCAGATTGTGCAGGAAATCCATTTGTGGGGGCAGTAGAGAAGAGAAGGAACATTTCTTCAAAAGCAAGGAGTTCAGATGCCCGGCGGGGACCCCTGCTGTGAATTATACCATATGGGCGAAGAACATGGACAAGTGTCCGAAGGACTTTGTTGTCTCGATTGAGGAGTTGAAGAGGCTCCCTCCTGGCGCTCCGGCATTCCAGTGGGCGGCACTTTTATTCCCAGAGGACTCGAAGCCTCGCCGGTCGCTTGCTAGTGAGGCAGGGCCGTCTCGCGGTGCAGTTGGTGCACCGGTTCTGGCACCTGTGGCGGGAGGACCGTCGGCCGGTGCAGTCCCACCGCCGGTACTTGGAGGGACCGCAGTGCCGTCGGCAGAGGCAACGAGACCGCCACCTGCGTCGCTCGAGGGCCACTGTGTCTCTCTGTCGGTTGGATTGCATCCTATGTTCACGACTACCGCGGCCAGAGCATCAGCTGCAGCAGGAGCTCCTCTTGCAGGTGACCGAGACACAGCTGCGGCAGCCACGGCTCGGTGGTCTCCACCTCGACCTCCACGTTCAACTCCATCTTTGGTAGCGGCTGACTTGCGGGCGCCAGAGCGCACAGGCGCGGTACCTACGTCACGGTGGTCTCCTCCTCGTCCTCCGCGTTCAGCTGCCCCTCAGTCGCACCCACCACTGCACCAGGACGTGCAGGGGACTGCGGCTCACACGCATCCACCGTCGACTCAGGCGGCAGAGGGCGCGGGTCCGCCCCCACCAATTCCACTATCTGATTCTTCACCCACGCCTGCTGCCAAGACTGCCCCCACATTCGCTGGTGTGGTCGCAGGGGATTTGGATCCTATGGAGCGGCTACGCAACATTCCACTTCCACAGGCCGCCACACCGGCGAGTCCAGCTGGTTTGTTTGACATGAGTGCCTCTGGTACGGTCGCACGAGGGAGGGGCACATACAAGCAGCAGGTGGTCACCTCGTATTATTTTGACCCTAGAGAGCGTGCATGGCACATGACGATCATGCGGTTCATCGTGGAGAGTGGCATGCCATTTAACTGCGTGAAGCTTGATAGCTTCAGACGGATGTTCACAATCATCGTCCCTCCTGGGGTCCCCGGGGCTCCCGTGCCTAAACCCCCGACTTATCACATGGTTCGAACGACGTTGTTGGATGAGCTGGATGCAGAGGTGCAGCGGTGTGTGAGACCAGTGCTCGATACCGCGCGTCAGAGTGATTGCACTATTATGACGGATGGTTGGACAAACATCCGTGGTCAGACATTGTGCAACTACCTTGTCGGTACAGAGAGGGGACCCGCGTATCTTGCCACTGATGTTATGCGGGGGAGGAAGGACGCGCCAACATTGGCGAAGGCATGGTTGCACAGGCTGAAGACCCTCGATATCCAACTCAACGACATCACGACGTTTGTCACGGATTCTGCAGGTGTGAACGTGTCCGCCATGCAGATATTCGAGGAGGACGAAAGCGTCGAACATATTTTTTGGATTCTGTGTGTGGCACATGTTATGGACCTCATCTTGGAGGACATTGGGTCGATTGGATGGGTGGCATCACTCATTGCTCAGGCGCGACTCGTCACAAAGTTCTTTAAGCGCCACAGTCATGCACGCTAGGCTTTGGAGAAGAAGACGAAGCTGAAGTTGTTGCTGCCCGCAGAGACTCGTTTCGGCACCAACGTCATCATGATCAGGAGATTGTTGGATCTGCAGACCCATCTCATGCTGGTCATTACCGAGGACCCGTGGCGCGACACTGTTTGGTCCACGCGGAAGGTTGGTCAGGATGCCGCCGAGATCACAGCATGTGTGGGGTCTCCTCCATGGTGGGAGGATTTGAGGCGTTTGTGTAATATCATGGACCCGGTCATGGAGATGCTGCATATGTTGGACAGTGACACACGGCAGATCAGCAAGGTCCTGCATCGGTATGAGATTATGATCGCATCCTGTCTTACCGCGTGCGACTCCCTCACCGCGACAGAGCAGGATGAGATCCTTGATGTTTTCGACAGGCGGCGCACCATGTTCCGTACTCGAGTGCACATAGCGGCCATGATGCTTGATCCTGAGTTTCGAGATGCCACCCTGCCGGACGACGATGTGATGCAGCAGGGGTTGATTGCCGCTTTGGTTCAGTTCGGCTACCCCGAGGGATCTCCGTAGCACATCGAGGTGCTCACCGCGATCGACAAGTTCCATGCCAGGGAGAGGTCTTTCGACAATGCCACGATGGATAGAGCGATGAGGAGCTATGAGCACCCGTCCAGTTTTTGGGAGTCGAAGTCGCGCAGGTTTCCACACACCGCATACTTTGCCATGAGGATCCTGCGCGTTTGGACGACAGCGTCGCCCTGTGAGAGAGCTTGGTCCCGTTGGAGTTTCATCCACTCGAAGACTCGCAACAGGTTGGAGGTTGGACGGGCTAAGAAGCTCGTGCGGTGCCATTGGAACCTCCGTCTTCTCGACCGTCCATCTCTGACCGAGGATGCTCCTCACGACAAACCCGATCAATTCGGGAAGTGGGTTCACTATTGGCAGCATTTGGAGGACGAGTTGCCCACTGACCAGCAGCTTGTTGCAGGGAGTGGAGCGAGATTGGCAGCCACACATGAGGAGATGCGTGTGGCGAGGGAGTGGATGCGTAGTGTTTCTCACATGGGCACCGAGCGCCGCCTTGTCTAATCGGACAAGAGACGACGTGGACGTGTTGGGGGTCGTGGCGGGCGTGGTGGGCGTGGGGGGCGTTCTGGTTATGGACGAGGTGGGCGTGGGGGACGCGGACGTGGATCAGCGGGCGGGATATGTCCGCGTAGTGCGCAACCTGGGCTGCGTGATGAGGCGATGGTCGATCTTATTCGTTTCCCTCGACAGCATTGGGACGAGGGTGATTTTTTGTATCACAGCTCCGATAGCGACGACGAGGATTTCTTCTGTACCGCCATGCCGCGAGGCGGAGACGACGACGGCAGGCCGGACGACGACCGTCCGGATGATGACGATAGTGATGATGGAGCGGGCGACGGTCGGGACCCTCGATCGTTGAGACGGGGTGGTGGCACTGGTGGGAGAGGTGTTGTTGCACCACGAGATGCAGCACGTGATGGCGGAGGATTAGACGTCGTCGACGGAGGAGGCGGCTCAGGCGGGCCACAGGCCGAGGATATCGGAGCAGCGCTGGAGCGTACACGTGCGGATGTGACTATGGACGCCGAGCAGAATGCGGGAGTGGATGTTGTCGACGGCGGAGGCAGCAGGGATGGACAGGCCAGTCCCCCGCATGGCTCGAGACCTCACCTCGTACGATTGCGGCATGGGCCGAAGAGGACACAGTCGATTGCCGATCGTGTGCGGCACCGCCACGGGACCCTCCCCCCCACTGTTCGTCCACGAGCCGTTGAGTCTGAACTTGTCCCCGTTTCCGAGGACTCCATGAGTGATGGGCCCGTCGATGAGCGACACCCGTCACCTGCCAGCTCAGCGCGGGAGACACATCCGGTTGCCGACGGGGCATAGGAGGACGCACGTCCAGTTCATGGCGCAGAGAAGGACGCACATCCACTTCCACGCAGTCCAGTGCTCGGTGGTGGTATGGACGTGGCAGACGTGTGCATGGAGGTGATGGAGGCGATGGACTTAGGATGTCCCTCTGCGCCGATGACGGACGTAGATCAGCGCGCCGAAGTGGCGAGTGGATTTCCACGCACAGATATCTCAGGAGTGTCTACCATGGATGATGGTGAGATCACTCCAGTGGTGGGAGGCCTAGGAGACGGGAATGTTCGCCTCTCTCACCCCACCGGCAGTCTTCCTCGAACTGCTGACCTGCTCTCCATAGGTTCTGCACTCGACGGGCTCCCCGACATCCGCACCCTCGTTTCACCGTCATTGTCGTACGTGCAGCCCCCTTGCCCCGATGGTGGGAGCACCCGGGCCGCAGGAGACGAGGATGTCGGCCTCGCGTGCCCCGACGGTAGTCTTCCTCGCATAGGTGACATGGTGGGCATGGGCACGCTTCCCGACAGCATGTTTGGTGCTGACACGATTATTCCACCATCGTTGCCGCTCGTGCCGTCCCCTGGCCTCCAGGGTGGGCCCGCCCGCGACGCAACAGACAGAGGGTTTGACGAGTTCGGTGGAGATACGATATTGTCTGCCATGGCCTCTGCAACCCCATCCGTATTTCGGGTGGGGAAACCCCACGAGGTCGCTCTAGGCTTGGTCGAGACCACGACACGCCATGGAGGTCTGCCACATACGAGGGATGGGCGTAGCTCCGCACAACGTAGCCTCGCTGACTCTTTGGACGGAGCGTCTTCTGACAGCGGCGCGCGAGAGGGTGCGCCATTGGGTGGACTTGGAGGGGATCCTTGAATGGGAGCACCGTCGACGACCAGGGGTGGAGAGGGTTGATCAGGGGGACCTCCGACCAGCGCGAGCTACGCAGAGCCTGGGAAGGACATTACACCAGCTTCGTCGGCTGCCGGTCGCACTGGTGACAGACCTGCCACGCGCATGGATTCTGCACCACATGCGGCCGGGAGGGGCGGTAGGGAGGAGCGACAGGGAGGAGCTTATGCGGGAGGTTCTTGCCCACCTGTGCCAAGGTTGGCAGCATCGTCTTTTTACGACCGGGGGAGAGCAGCACCATTCGATGGCGGAACCGCGGCAGGGAGGAGTGCATGCGGCATGCCAGATGTGCCCTTTGGAACACGTTCCATCGGCGTTGTTGGCAGTCGTAACCATGGTGCGATGCGTGAGTATGAGGACCAGCATGGCAGACGGCTGGCCACGAAGACATCAGATGTTGCCTTCACCAGGGTGGTGAAGGCTAGTATGTGGCGTGCAAAGAGTAAGGGCGGACACGAGAGGTCTTCACAACATTCGAGTCGTCGTGGCACCGCACCCAGGGAGTCTGTGCATGGTGACAATCAGGACGAGGAGGTTGCTGCAGTGCATGGTGGTGTACCGGAGGATGGACAGGCAGGTGATGGAGGCCGTTCACGCAGATTGTCACGCGTGCATGACAGCTCCGGCAGCGCAGGGGACGAGCGGCGCAACCACACCGAGGGGGCTGGTCGTGGAGAGAAGAGACGAGGTGCTTTCACCATTGTACACGATGACAGTTCTGACATCCCGACCGACAAGTCGACGGGGGCCGACGACCCAGGTGACTCCGATTATAGACCGGATGGATCTCAACCAGCACGCATGGAGTATGGATCTCGACCTGCACGCATGGCTGATGGATCACGACCAGCACGGATGGCGGATGGATCTGATCCTGGAGGACGTCGACTCAGACGCAGGGCAACACTCAATGCACAGGGACATTTGACTCCTTCGACTCTGAGACCATTCATCCCCCGGCCCCGGGTTGACAGGGGCGAACAGGCTCGTACAGTCCTACTAGCAATAGAGGCTAGGCGACTTCAGAGATTGACCCCTGCATTTCCGCGTCGTGATGGGACTGACGATCAGAGAGAGAGGCAGATAGTCACAGACATAGGGGGAGTGAAAGGGGGGGGGGTAGGTGACGGATCTGATGGTGGAGGCGGGGAGGAGGGTGGGCTTGGGAGTGAGAGAGAGTGTGAGAGAGAGAGAGAGTAGTCTTCTACATGGGCATATCTATTTTGTCGGGCCCATTGTATTTTAGTTGTGTTTGAGAGAAAGAGTAGTCTCCTACACGGGCGTCGTCAGACTCGTCAGTGTCGTCACCATCGAGCCTTCGGCGTGGAGTTTGAACCGTTGTATTTTTGTTGTGTTTGAGGTTCATATGCTCACTCAATGTACTCTCTATGTTCGGGTTGCGGCCTTAGAGGAGTACCATTGTAGCCTTGTAGGAAGTTGTAGCCTTGTAGGCACTATATTTTTCTTGTGTCTGAGGTTCATATCCTCACTGCCTGTACTCTCTATGTTCGGGTAGCACTCTGTACGTTGTAGCCTAAAGGATACTTCATGGATAATGGTTTTTGGAACTTGGTGCACTGTCGCTCGCATTGTTCCATCTTGTCTCATTTGAATTTTCATTGTATGCAGTTTCATTGCCTACTATTCAGTACATTTGTTCTTGTTGAAATCACACCATGAATTGTTGTCGACTTTGTTTGATGTTAGTAACAGCAGCAAGTGACAGCAGCTGTCAGCAGGGAACCTATTGATGCGGAAATTGCGGTGGTATGACCGTATGAGTCCGTATGACTCTTGCACATGTTTGGTGTTAGTGACAATGAAGAACCTATTGATTCTTGACACTGTTTGTCAG